AGATGGAAGAGGAGTAGCTGGCATCAGTTTTGAAGAAATGATAGATGTTCTCCAAGGATGTGCCCACAGGAGGTGGGGTGGAGGGTCAGGTTCAGGACAGGAAGGGAATGTGCCATCCACAAAGGGACAGCGTGAGAGGTACAGTTAAGAAAGTAGGGTGAGGGACAATAGAGGCTTAGACTACAGTTTAAAACTTGCAAAAATGGTTCCTGAGTAAAGGCTGGATGCGGGAAGCACAGCAGCAGTTGGAGGTACTAGAGGACAATGGGAATGAGTCATGGAAGCCAGGATAAAGGCCTTAGGGAGAGGCCAAATGAGTAACCTAGAGTCTGCCTGCACCCCCAAGGAATAATTCTCAACTTCCATTTGGCGGTTGCTGTTTACCTTTCTAACATGAACGCATCAGCACACGTGGAGTTCAATTCAGATTTTACAACATCACTGAGGGTGGGGGTGGGGGTGATGGTGTCCTAAGAACATTCAAAAAAATTCATGGAAAAATTCCATTTTCTTTTGATTCCATTTTTTCCATGAACTCTTTAGAAGTCCCCTCATACATATACTCTAGTTGTGGAGCTGCCCTTGCATTTCCCATCTTTATTTATTTATTTATTTTATTTTGCAAGAATCATGGATGGGCTTAAGGTCCATTATCCCCAGTCAAATATAGTGGTGATGATTCTGCTAGAGCTCAAGTAGATGCTAGTCAAATCTGGTACGGGAAAATAATTGAATTTTGAATGTCACTTACTCCCTGATAGGGCAGGATCCATTGGCACTTTGCTGTTAGTTTTTAAATTCTTAATATTGTTTGAACAAGGCGCCTACATTTTCATGTGTTCTGGGTCCCATACAAGGAGCCCTGGAGTGTAGTAGGTTGTGAATTGGGCTGCTAATTACAGGGTCGGCAGTTTGAATCTACAGAAAACATGAGTCTTTCTGCTCCCATAAAGATTTACAACCTCAGAAACCCTATACAGGGTTGTTATGAGTTGGAGTCGACTAGTTGGCACATACCATCACCACCCCACCTGGGCCCCACACACCATGTCCTCTTGAACTCATCCACCCAGAGGATTACCTCTGCTCTCAAGGATTTTTAGCAGTGTTCCTGAAAAATCTCAGTCCGTATTTGAAAGGCCGAATTCCAAGGCTGACTGTACCCTACACAGTCCTGCTTCAGTCTCAGCTTTGTACAGGAGCCGTGACTGACTACTACGTAGCTGTTGTCAGCAATCAAGGGGATGGCCCCACCCTTCAATCCAGTGGTCTTTCTTTCCTTCCTTTCCCAAAAAGCCAAGGGCAAAGGAAATGACACTCACTCCCACCAGCATCCACTCACTCTCTTCCCCGACCTGACCAGACCCTCGCCTTGGAGTTGAGGTAATGCTGGGAATCTTTGGAAGGTTTGGTGAGTCTGGAATCTTGAACACTATAGACAAGCACTGTATGCCTTTCTCTTTCCTTTTTAGAGTGTCTGCATCCGCTCCCTAGGTGACCTTGGGTCAGTAGAGTCCTGCTGACAGGTTCAGCACTTGAGAACACCACACCCACCCTTTTAAAATCGAGCTGGACCTGGGAGGCAAGCCATTTATACTGCCTTTGAGAGCCCCGGAGAGATTCCCCAGAGCTTGTTTCCCGATCCCAGGCTGCCTGCCGAGTTCTGGCACTATTAACCCTTTCATTCCAACCAGACGCAGGATCTTTTTTTGTCTTATTTTGTTTAGAAGTCAACAGCGCCACCTTCTGGTTATCCCTTATGGGTGACCCCTGTCCAAAGGACATGTTTTGAAAATCCTTTATTGCCTTGAGTGGATTCCTTATTTACAGTGACCCTAACCAGCTGTTCCACCGGAGAAAGATGAGGCTTTCTGCTCCCGTAAAGATTTACAGTCTCGGAAACCGTGTACAGGGTCGCTATGATCGGAACCGACTCCACGGCACAACTACAATGATTAGAACTGACCGGTAGAGTTTCCAAGGTTGTAAATCTTTAGGAAGCAAACAGCTTGCTGCGTATTCTTTCCGCACAGAAGCTCACCTTTCGGGTAGCATCCGAGAGCTTAACCACTGCACGTTGCCAATACATTTGGATTTATAGCCACCCAGGAGTCTTGGTGTGGCGCTGTGGGTTAATGCGCCAAACTGCAAAGGCAAGGCCGTTTGAGCTGCAAGGTCAGCGGTTGAAGCTCACCAGCTGCTCCTCAGAAACCCTATACAGGGTCGCTATGGGTCGGAATCGACTCGACTGCAGTTAACAACAACAACAACCTGTGACATAAGAGAACTAACAGCAAGGTCAGAAATTAGAAACCACCAGCTGCTTCACGGGAAAGCGATAAGGCTTTCTGCTCCTGTAAAGAAAACCCTATGAGCCGATTCCCCAACACACACAGCAGCATCAGCAGTAATCTTTACAGAAAGAACCCTGGTGGTGTACTGGCTTAAGTGTTGGGTCGCTAATCTCAGGCCAACGGTTCAAAGCAACCTGTTGTCTGATCCCATAAAGATCTTTGGTTTGGAAATCGTAAGGAGCCACTCCTTGTGTAGTGCTGTAGAATCAGAACTGGATTGAGAACCACAAGGTCATCAGTTCAAATCCACCAGCTGCTCCTTGAAGCCCTATACAGGGTCACTATGAGTCGGAACCGACTTGAAGGCACTTAATAATAACAACGTGGAGCAGCTCTACACGTTCCTATAGGGTCACTGAGTCAGGGTGTCCCAAAATTCATGCTACCAGCACTCAACAAGCATTGTTGTTGTTGTTAAGTGCCGTGGAGTCGGTTCCTACCCATAGGGGCCCTATACAGGGTTTCCGAGGGTGTAAATCTTTATGGGAGTAGAAAGCCTTATCTTTCTCCCGCGGAGCAGCTGGTAGTTTCCAACTGCTGACTTTAAGGTTCGCAGCCCGATTCGTAACCACTACGCTACCAGAGCTCCTCAACAAGCATATACAACATAAATTTTTAAGGAAGCACATCGCCAGGTTTTAGTCCCATAGAGTAGCTGTAAGCAGTTAGTTGTTGTTTAGTGCCTTGAATCCGTTCTAATTCACAGCAACCCTGTATAGGGTTTCCAAGTAGCCGCTGGTGAGTTTGAATCACGGACCTTGTGGTCCAGCATTATCCTACAGCGCCATATCAATGAGGAAGGTTGATCCAAAAAAAAATTAGGGATCTTGGCAAACATTTTAATTACTCTTACAAAGGGCATGCTGTTGTTATTAAGTGCCATCGTGTCGGTTCCGATCCATAGCAACCCTGTATAGAGGAGCAGCTGATGAGTCGAACCACTGGCACATTAACCCACAGCACCACACCAAGACTCCTTCAAAGGGCATGTTGTTATTAAGTGCCCGTAGAGACGGTTCCGACCCATAGCAGTCCTGTGTAGGGTGTCCAAGGAGCAGCTGGTGACCTTGAATCACCGACCTTGCAGTTCAAACAGCTTTGCAGTCTGGCGCATTAATCCACAGCGCCACACCAGGACTGCTTAAAAGGGCATAGAGTATTTCAAAAACAAGCTTGCCTTTCCCTAATATTTTGGATCCACCCTCCTCACTGATAAGTGAATACGCAGTCCAGGGCATATTCCCATCTCCTCCTCCTAGTACTGCCCACCCTGCAGTTCTCCAAAGGCCTTTGCCTCACCAAGTACCATTTACTTGCACCACGGTATCAATCCAATCTATGGACCTAATAGACAGCTTTTTAACAAGCCTCCCTGGGGTCAGCTGCAAGCCCGCAGAGCCCACCTCTTAGGAACTCCCCATGAAGAAGCCACTAGCGTGAGAGGTGGCCTGCGCGTCTGTGATGTGGCACAAAATGTTGTTGTTAAGTGCTTTCAAAGACTTACAACAAGGCTTTATCGGGTTTCCGAGGAGCATCTAGTGGGTTTGAACCGCTACTCTTGCAGTTCAAACCGACCTTGTGGTCCAGTGACATTATCCTGCAGTGCCACATAGGCCAGGCCAACAAAGGAGCTCCGCACACGCAGCCTCCTCCTGGGCTCTGCAAAAATTGCCTGTCCCACTTCTGAGAGGATGCAGCGACTCGGGAGCCCCAACAATGCTCCGTGACTTTACCACTAGACAAGATGGTGGCCGGCTTGGCAGCGCGTACGAAGAGATTTGCGGGCCTCTAACCGTGCAGGGACGCCAGTGTTTCGCCAGTCCGACCCACGTGGTCCATTCTCGTTTCTGCCAAGCCGCAAGCATGAGCATCCTCTGTTGTCTGGGGCCGATCAAGCTCTGCCCCGGACTGATGGCAGTTCTCTGCTTCTGATCACATTTTTGGGAAAGCCCACATCCTAGGCACTCGCTCCCAAATTCCTTCCAGTCCCAAGCACAACCTTCTCAAAGTCCTTCAGGTCCTGGACCCTCTTTCTCGCCACCCACCCCCCACTCCCCACCCCTATCCTAGACCTCTTTGCCCCGGGCTTCTCCTCCCAGAGCTCAGTAAGCCTAGCCTCCCCAGAAATGGTTGGTGACATCACATCCACGAAGAAAATAGAAAAACGACCGAGATTGTGGGGGCGGGAAGTTGGGGAGGGGACTGAGTAGTAAGAGCCTCTCTTGGGGCTGCGCACTTGGGGTCCCTGTGGCGGAGCTGGGGCCGTTGCCTTCCTTGATGACGTGAAACCCTTAATAATCTTGCCGCAGATCCTGCGCCTGCGCTTGGCCCGCGACCCTGCCTGAGACCTTTCATCTCAGTAGGGTTTACTCATCCAGGCGAGGTACTCCCAGGCGTTGAGGGCGGGCGCTTGGAGCTGAAGAACCCAGTAATCGGAGAATGTAACCTTGGCCCTTCCCATCTGCACTTCCTTCCTTTTCCCCGAACGTCCCGTGAGGGAGGGCCGCGCACTTATAAACGCGGCCTGGAGGGCGGCATGTCAGAAGCTGCCTGGCTGCGCTCTGCAGCCCGACGCGCCTAACCTCAGCGGACCGAGCAGCGGCGCCTGGCGCCCCCAACCTCTGCTCGCCCGTAGCGCTGGGCAGCATGCTACGGGTCCTACTCCTCGGTGTGCTGGCTCCAGCCAGCTTGGGATTTCCTGCGTCGCCTGGGCCACAACTCCTCGGCAGCCAGTGCGTTGAACACGACTGCTTCGCACTCTTTCGCGGCCCCGCGACATTCTTCGCTGCCAGCCAGGCCTGTGAGCACCTGCAGGGCCACCTGATGACCGTGCGTTCCTCGGTGGCGGCCGATGTTATCTCCCTGCTGCTGAGCAGCGACCAAGGAGTCGGCCCGCGCCTCTGGATTGGCCTGAAGTTGCCGGTTGGCTGCCATGACCCTCGGACCCTCGGGCCCTTGCGCGGCTTCCAGTGGGTTACTAGGGACAACCGTACCAGTTACAGCAGGTGGGCGCAGCCCGACAACGGGACAGCCCTATGCGGTCCACTTTGCACCGCAGTCACAACAGCTGAGGCCTCTGCTCCGGGAGAGCCGACCTGGGTGGAGCAGCAGTGCAACGCGGAGGCCGAGGGCTTCCTTTGTGAGTTCCATTTCGCAGCCTCTTGCAGGCCCCTGGTTTTGGATCCCGTTGTCGCTGCGCTTACCAACGTCTCCGACACCTACAATACCCCGTTCGGGGCGGGAGGAACGGACTTCCAGGCGCTGCCAGTGGGAAGCTCCGCCTCGGTGGCGGCCCTCGGCGTGGAGCTGGTGTGCGCTGCGCCTCCGCCAGGAACTGCTGAGGCGCGTTGGGGCCGGGAGGCGCCGGGCGCCTGGGACTGCCGCGTGGAAAACGGTGGTTGCGAGCACTTTTGCCATGGGGGCTCTGGTCTGCCCCAGTGCCTCTGCCCCACCGACGCTGCCCTGCAAGCTGACGGACGCTCCTGTGCGGTCCAAGGGGCTAATTCCTGCGATGATCTCTGTGATCACTTCTGTGTACAAAATTCCGAAGTGCCCGGCGCCTACACATGCATGTGCGAGACTGGGTACCAGCTGGCGGCCGACCAGCATCGGTGTGAGGACGTGGACGACTGCCTGCTGGTGCCCAGCCCTTGCCCGCAGCTCTGTGTTAACACGAAGGGCGGTTTCGAATGTCAATGTTACTCCAACTACGAGCTGGTGGACGGCGAGTGCGTGGAGCTGCTGGATCCGTGCGTTGGTGTGAAATGCGAATACCAGTGCCAGCCAGTAGGCGATAATGACTACCGCTGTATCTGCGCCGAGGGCTTCGTGCAAAATCCGCTGGACCCTAACAGGTGCCAGATGTTCTGCAACCAGACCTCCTGTCCCGCTGACTGTGATCCCAACGGCCTGGAGAGCTGTCAGTGCCCGGACGGCTACATACTGGACGAGGGTTTCATGTGCACAGACATCGACGAGTGCAGTAATGACGAATGCGCCGGTGAGTGCCGCAACCTCCCAGGCAGCTTTGAGTGCATCTGCGGGCCTGACTCGCCTCTAGCCGGTCAGGTTAGCACCGACTGTGACCCCATCAAAGTGAACTACGATGGTGACGGCGGCTCTGGGGAGGGTCCTACCAGCCCGACGCCCAGCACAACTTCAGGCCCCGCGTCCTCGGGTCCCAAGCATTCAGGCGTTCTCATTGGCATCTCTATTGCTAGCATGTCCCTGGTAGTGGCACTTTTGGCGCTCCTCTGCCACCTGCGCAAAAAGCAGGGCTCCATGCGGGCAGAACTTGAGTACAAGTGTGCGAACCCCAGCAAGGAGCTGGTGTTGCAGCGCGTGCGCACGGAACTGATGCCTCAGAAACTCTGAGGGCTTGGCTGGCTTCCTTTGGTGCCTTGGTGTGGTTGTGACCTCTCCCTTCCCTGCTGGGCCTCAGCCCCTCCCTCTGTCCTCACCACCTCCACTTCCACTGCCTACTTCATCTTGTTCTCTGGCTAAAGGAAATTACCCCAGTGGCATTAGAACTGGAGAAGAGCATCACTCTAAAATTTCTTTCTATAATTCCAGGGGTGGTGGGAGATAGAAAGGGACTGGAAGGAGGATCAGCCCCACCTTCCTCCATGATGTCTTTGGATGACTGGACAGAGAAGCACAATTAAGACTTCACATTACAAAATGTTCCCAAGCTTTTGCCTCTGGCCCAGGAATCCGAAGCTTTTAAAGAAGACCTTTACCTGGTGGACTAGTGAGTGTAATCAAGGTGTAGATGATGATCAAAATATTTATTTTTTAAGTATTTAGGTTGTTTTCTCTTTGCTTTTTTCTCTGTGTGTCTCAGATACCCGTTTTGTATGTTTGTTTCACTTGTCAGGAGACTGTTATACTATCCTGGAGAATCTTTTTTTCTCCAGCCACTGGCATTTGTGAAGCTGTCTCATATCCCCCCTAATTTTTGGAAATTTTCCCCCCTCAGAAACTCACCACAGACCAAGTCTGAGTCACCCTACCAGTATCTAACCCCACTTCTGATCTCGTCTGTGAAACAAAATACAAAACACTAAAAATAAAACATACAAAGTATTTGCTTTTCACCAGATTTGCTAATTTATTTCAGGTTTCTGGAGCAATAAAATATTAACAGGTTAAGTAAGATGTGAGAGGCTTTGGCTAAATTAATGTTGCTGAACTGTCATAGAAATTTAACCCAAGGAATCTGTCTTCATCTTTAAACAGTGAGCCTGAATTTTTTGTTTGTATTGTTTGGATGTGGACTGTAAAGTAATAATTGTTGTAAGCTTCCTATGCACTTTTCTTTTACATTCTTATCATTATTTTTAACAGTGTTGAAAATGTTAACGAGGCTGCTCCAAGGTGGTTGAGAAAAATTTTGAATTGTATGATTCATTATGTTTTGGAATTTCACTGTTGTCTGTAACTCCTAAACCTAAGAGTGAAAACAAACCCAGCTCTACTGCTTATGTAGAGCCTGGGAGCTTGGGAATGACGCTTGGAGGATACTAAATTAAGGCCCCACCTTGATCAGGCCCTTCAGAATTTCTCCCCAAATTTTAAAGGAGACTTCCAGCATCCTGCAAATTCACTCACTGGGAACCTGGTGCCTGGACGGAGAAAGGTGTCTTTCCCCAGGAAAGCTGTTTAGAAATGCAGAACTTCAGGCTGCACCTCACCTACTGCAAGAGAATCTACTTGAACAAGAACTGCAAATAGTTGTTAGCCCAAATAAAATTTGAGAACTTTTTTTTTCAGACAACTTTGGAATTTCTGTAATATAATAACTGTGGATCAGTAATAAGTAGCAGGCCAAGTCTCTTTAGTCTCAAGAAATTGAGGAATTTTCATTTTTAGCCTTGTTTTCTAGTAAGAAAGACAAGGTATACATCTCTAGACATTGTTACACAGGGTGGAAAAGAGCTTGTGGTTTAATTAAGCTAAAACAAGGAAATCATGCCTCAGCGTATGGAAAAAAAAGGTAAAACGTACCTTTTGCCCTGGCAAAGGTTTTCCTCTAATATTTTTGTAAACTCAGCAATTTGTACATAGCTATTTATTTATTGGAAATAAATTAGAACACAGACAAAACCCTTGCTTATTATTTTTACACAGTGATTTCTTAGGTTGTGTGCCTATTCACCGCTTCTCCTTTAATCTCATTTTATGTCATTAGTGGCTTCAAGGGACAGTGCAAATGCCCATGAGATGCAGTAAAGGATTCTTCCCACTCAGCCTCTGTGCCATATGGATATGGCGCCATCTCTGACATTCAAAGAGCTTCCAAGATGAGACGTTTTCACTACAAAAGATTTTAATGTTATCTATGTGTGCATAAGTGTTTGTTTTTCCTTCCGTATCCATAACACCTTTGCATGTGAGGAGTTGTGTCTACATTTCTTAAAATACATCATAGGATTATTTCTAGGACAATTCAAGAAATACTCCTTCTAGGGTCTCAGTGAGCGTTATCTGCTTCCAGAGAGATCCAGACCTGGGATAGTCACTAGGGGCTTCAGTCTGTGACTCAGATTCAGGCAAAGGTTTCTAAATATCAAGATCTCATCCAGTATCAGGTCATTCACATTTTCATGTCTTGTCAACACACAGATGTCTTGGGCACCTTTTTCTAGGATGATAGAACAAAAGTTGGAGGAAAATGTAGCTCAAATATGCATATAATTTTATGTATCTAGATAATGATTACTTTCTCAGTTTGAATCTGAGCAGTTATTGGGAAGACAAAGCTGGAGCAAAGCTCAATATCCAGGTAGATGAGATTGACAGTTTTACTGTGTGTGAGGACAGAGGGTGGTTGTGAAGCTGCTGTGTGCAGTACCTTACAGGAATAACAGCGTGAGCTATGTTGCTATTATAGAGTTTGGTAGACTCGTTGTTGTTGTTGTTGTAAAGTGCCATTGAGTCGGTTCCCACCCATAGCGACCCTGAACAGGGTTTCCGAGGCTGTAAATCTTTACTGGAGCAGAAAGCCTCATCTTTCTCCCGCGGAACAGCTGGTAGTTTCGAACTGCTGACCTTGCGGTTCGCAGCCTGATTCATAACCACTGCGCTACCAGAGCTCCTACTAGTAGAACATTTAATTTGGTAATAAGGTTCTTTATTGAAGAAATCAGCTTGTCAGGGAACTAGGGATCTAGATAAATAACTGCTTTGGGATACAGAAAAGACATTGATAATTTCACAGATGATTTGCTTCCAGGTGCTGTCCAATTGCAAAAACAAGGGTTTTTGCTTTGGAGTTTCTTTCTCCAGAGAAGTGGCATCTTATTAAGGAACACTTATGTTGTTGTTAAGGAGCTCTGGTAGCGTAGTGGTTATGAATCGGGCTGCGAACCTTAAGGCCAGCAGTTCAAAACTACCAGCCGTTCTGTGGGAGAAAGATGAGGCTTTCTGCTCCCGTAAAGATTTACAACCTCGGAAACCCTGTACAGGGTCGCCATGGGTCGGAACCGACTCGAAGGCACTTAACAACAACAGCAAATGTAGTTGTTATTATTAAGTCTCACTGAGTCTGTTTCGACTCTTAGAGTTCCTGTATAGGGTTTCAAACTGGTGGGTTTGAACTAACTTGAGGTGAGCAGTTCACTACTTATCCTACAGTGCTACCCCAGGACTGGAGGATCAAAACACCATAAGCCCACAGGGTGGGGTGGGACTGGGAGTTTCCCTAACTCACTTCCTATTTCAGAGCTTCTCTGATTAACAGACCTCGGAATTCAAGATTCTGAAAATAAGTAAGCATATCTTTTCTCTGAAAAAGATACCAGGACCAAATAAACACACCATTTAGCCATAAACATTATCCCCCAGCATACACAGTCAGGGAAGCCCATATGACATGGGGATTTAGCAACCTGAATGATCTCTACTTACTACCACAGGGTGTGGTCATGGTCCAAGCTTTCTGATGATGTTCCATAGCAAGGCAGTGCCTGGGGGAGAAGGTAAAGGTGTATTTCTGGATAGTTCAGAATTCTATTTTATAAGTCAAATGTTTCTTTTAATTTTCCAACCCAGGCAGAAGAGACCCTAGTATGGTGCAGATTGGAACACTTTCAGTTCCTAACCAAAATGTTGGTGGTTTGAGTCCACCGTGAGGCATCTCAGAAAAAAGCTTAGGGATCTACTTTCAGAAAAATATTAAGTGAAAACCCTGTGGAGCACATTTCTGCTCTGACACATATAAGGTCAGAGTTAACTAGACAGCAACTGGTCAGCTCTGAGCCCAGCAGCCTTATATCCCAGCGCTTCAGGGGAGCAGGCCTAGTCTGTACCTTCCCTCATCCACAACAGCCACCCACACTGGCACCTCAAGTTTACTAAGTCCAAAGAGGAACTTGCAAAAGAAAAATGACTTAAAGACCCAATTGTGCCACTGGTTCTTGCAATGTGACATTGGGCAAATTTCTTAATCTTCCTGAACTGTCTGCCATGACTTAAGCCTAGGTAGGGAATGGCCAGGCCCCCTGGGTGTTAGTAAGTGCATGAACACATGAAAACTTTGATTACTGTATTCTTACCTTTCCGGAAGGTGGCATTAGAAGTTGAAGGCAGGGGCATTTGAAAAGCTTCATCAGGTATGTTTATGAAAATTTGTTTATCTTCCTCTTTCCCTTTGAAGAGAAAGAAGAATCTGAGCTCTAAGTGGAACTTGTAGGTTGATTAGGGACTGCTGTTGTATACCATGGAATCAATTTGAACTCACAGAGATACTGTACAGAGTTTCCGAGGAGTGACTGGGGGTTTGAACTGCTGACCTTGCAGTTAGCTGTCCAGCTCCACAACAGAATCCCAATTAGGGCTTACCGTTGTTGTGTTAAGTTGGTTTTGACTCTTACCGACTGACTGTGTATAAGATTTCCCAGGAGCAGTTGGTGGGTTTGAACCACTGAACTTGTGGTTAGCAGTCCAGTGCTGATCCTACAGTGTCACACCAGGAGTCCAGAACTAAAATTTCCATGCCGGTCAAGTGGCCATTTAGCACTTCATAGGAAGAACAGAGAGGGCTAGAGGAGGGCGAACACATTTATCCTATTTCTTTTTTTTTTAATTGTGATATAATTCATATAAGTAAAATTAACTTTTTTGAGTGAACAGCTGAGTTTTGACAAACACATGCATTTATGAATCCACCACCATCTTCAATATATAGAATGTTTTCATTACACTAAAAAGTTCTCCTTTTAATACCAACACCAGGTAAGTTACTCCAAACAGTGAATGTGGGCCTTTTCCTTTTTGACAGGCCTCTGTTCCCTTCACTGCCCCATCTTGATCTTTCCACACTAAGGACCCAAAGTTTTCACATTTGTATCACAAAGATAAGCTTTCTAAATAAT